CCAGCTGGAGTAGAATTATTTTCTTTGTCTGAGTTTTTGGAGAGGAAAAACCCTCTAACAGGCTTGGTCTTTTTCACTTCAGGGAACACACGTGTGAATCTCAGTAGGGTACCAGGTGTATTATGATAGACCGGCAGGCCCAAAAGTAGTGTGTATCCAAAGCTCAGCCAAGGGTTACCAGACACACCACCCGTCCTTCTTGCTCTACCTCCCTACAACCTTCTTTGTATCTCTCTGGATGGATTCCTACCCCATGTCCTCAAATACCTTCTACTTTCTGGAAGAAAGTAGTAGTTGCAGAACTGAGGCCATAGACATCTTTGCTGATTCTAGAGGCAGAGATGAGGAGGGGATTCATGTAAGTATCCAGGCTGGACTAAGCACCCAAGAAGCATACCCCATGAAGGTCCCTTCGTAATGCCAAGCCCTGGTCTGGGGGTAGGCGCAGCCTGTAACACAGCTAAGAAGATTTCATAGGAACTATCACTTCTTGTATAACACTACCTCTGCACCCAACAAGAACTCAAAATCACAGCCAAATTTACTGCCAGCCACAAGACAGCCTCAATCTGACTTTAGTCTTCAAATCTCAACTGCCTGTGTGTGTGCTTCTTCTAGAAATAAGGTCACAGTGGGGATGGGGGAGGGGCTAAAAACACTTAAAGAGCATGGTCTGCCATTTTTCTAGGCTAAGGACAGTAAACAGTATTAGAGTCTGCCCAATTCATTCTTACATCATCTGTGTTAATAAAGATGGGTCAGGTATGCCTACCCCCATTTTGCAAACAGAGACTTGGGTCTAGAGAGGGTAAAATGATATAGCAACACCAGTGCACATTAAATTGAGGAGGTGAAGCTTCTTTTTCTTCCAGGATACTCTGCCACCCCCCCCCCACTTTGTTCCAGGGTGGTAACTAACCCCCACTGTGCCCGATAGAGACTGCCACCAAAAATGGGCCAGGAAAAGGGCAAATATATAAAAGGACCAAAAAACCCTGTCTTGTCCTCCTCCCCAATTTTTCTCCTTCTCCTTTTCCTGCATCCCTACATTGGTCTCTACCCTTTCTTTTCTCCACCCTCAGCCAACCTCAGGGCACATTTCCAAGAACTCAGAATGAGTATAGGAACCTTATGCTACAGTTCAGCAACACTCCCTCTCACACATGTGCGCATGCGGGTGCACGCGCACACACGCGCGCACACACACACACACCACCCTCCACAGGAGGATACAATTTGAATCCCTGAGGCCTCTGAGAGGCCCTATTCAATGCAGAATCATTGGTGCCAAAACCTTGGAAAGGTCACCCATCCCAAAAGAGGACCTTTTCCAGCGCGGGGAGCCAACTTTATGGATGACTGTCTACACTGTAGAAGGGGACCCCTAGGTGGCAAAACAGACAAATCTGACTAGAAGAGAGTCCCCACTTCATCCAGACAGGCCCCTGGGGTCAACGAGGTAGTATAAGACACTAGCCAAAGGAATTAATAACACCAAAGTCATGGCCCAATTCCCTTGTAGGTCACGTTTCTTTGAGAATACCACAACGTATGGGGAAATCAGAAACCGTCCCTTAACACTTGGGGTAACCAATAGCAGTTTTCTTTTTTTTTTTTTTTTTTTTAACATTTCCTCTTTCTTTGTCACTTGATTGTCAGGAGAAGACTATACCTGTCTCCATAACTTGGGCAGCTGAATTCCCCACATTCAGGGAAATCACAGGAACCGGTAAGAATTGGTGATTTCCCCAGCCTGATCATTTCCTGGTCGAAAGGTTCTTCCATGACAAATATGAGGTAGACTTCTACACTCCATGTACTCTTTTCCCACTAATCACCTTTTCTCAAATTCCTCCACTCCCAAGATGTCTCCACCTTTCCACAAGCTATCTCCAAGCATGCACACCACACCACTGAGACCCAAATCACTTTTGTTTTTTTCCCATGACACCAAAGAAGGTTCTCCAACATTTCTCACTATGGTTCTTGCACCTTACCTTTGTCTCTGCCTGACCTGAGATCATCACTTGTGATTTGGAGTTACCAAAACAGTTTTCTCCTACTCCATGAGCCCAGACACCATCAGAGAGTGTCTGCAACCCAGTCCTCATATACTGTGGAATCACAGTCAGCATGGAAAGGGTCACTGGGGTGGGAGGCTGCCAAGACTGGATACATCCTTGAAAGGTATTGCTCCATGCCCCTTCACAAACTGCAGTGCTACCAGAAGAATCAAGAAAGTCTCCAAGTAGTAAAAAATATAATAGACTTGGAGTCTACCATTGACTTACTAGGCAAGACACTAGGGAAGACACTCAATGCGTCATAACCTCAGTTTTTCCATCCGTTTCTCCACAACCTTCGATGACTGCCTCACAGAGTGGCTGTAAAAGGCTAATGAAATAGAGGATATGCAAATACACTAAATAACACTGTATGCAAACGGAACAAAGCATCATCTTCCTCAGTCCACAACTCTTCTGATGAGAAAAGGGCCAGAGCTAGCATAAAGGATTGGCTACTAGACTGTCATAGTCTTATTTAAAGATCACCCACTTGAACCTCATTGTACACAAGTGGACACCTAAACACAGGAAGGGCAAGTGATGTACCATGGATCCCAGAGGTAGTGAGTAGCAGAGCAAAGATCAGAACCCAAGTTTTTGATCTGCCAGTCCAATTCTCTTTCTCTGCCCTCTATCCCATCCTCACCAGCGTGTGCAGACTGAGGCTATTTTCAAGAAGAAAGCCGTATTGTTCTGAAGCATAAAGGGAAACAAAACTAAGGTAGAAAAATGAAAAGGGGATTAATGAAATATGCCACAGTGTGTCTTGGCAAGAAAAAAAATTACAGGCAACCACTGCACTTAGGAAAATACTATGGTCCCTTTATATAATTTTGGGGATAACCAAGTTATATAGAGCTGGCTTTTACTGTAAGGAGCCAGGCTATTTGGGAGGGATGGGAGAAATGATTTTACCCCCTGCATATCCAAATGTGTGTAATAATGAGCCTTCATATAATAGGAGTCAACGGTACATTCAACAGAAAGGGAATCATTAAAAGGCACCCTGCCTCTCAACACACCAGTCACTTCCTCAACAGCTTGGCCAAGGAAACCCTCATCTACCCTCAAATAATCCCCCAGCCAGACCACAAACTGCTGGCTGCCCCATACTTAGTAACAACCCCTGCCATGCTCTCACTGGCTCACAAAACAATCCAGGACCACAGCAGCAAGCACTCTCTGGGGTGCCTCTCAGGATGGGTCAGCCCTGGGCAGAGGTAAAAAAATGACCTCTCCAAGGCAGGTTGTCTAAGCATACTGTGTAGATTCCGTGAGTGGTGTAAAGAGAAAAAGAAAGGGAGGAACTGCCAGACCATGGAGGGCTGCATAACCAGTTGTGACCTTGGTGGAAAGAGTGGGGAGAGGAGGAGTTTGATTAGAAGAAATTCCTGAAGGCCAGGATTCCCTTCCCCAAAGAGGTTGTTTGAAAGTGTTTTTGTTTAAAAAAAAAAAAAAAAAGCTTATTACTCCCTCCAGAGAATACTGGAAGGAGAGTATCTTAGGAGGGGATGTGACAGTGGGTGACAAAGGCATCTCCGAATGATTAGAAATACATGAGTAGTATAGGGGAAAAGGATGCTGGATGAAGATCTGGGCTGGTTATTGGTGTTTGGGGAGGCTCAAGATCCCAGGTTTTTCTGACAGCCCCTCAAAATTTAGCCTCAGCATCCCTCAGACTGCTCAGGCTGATTGGTACACCCCATGGCAACACCCCGGGGTTACCAAGAGTGTGGGCCCTGAGGCTTAAAGAACCCCTGCACTACAAGTTACCGAGCAGCTCCAGTGGAAGGCCAAAGCAGCACAGGTTGGGGGGAAGGAGGGCATTCGCAGACCCCTGCTGAGATGTGACCAACGTTAAAAAGCCAAAGAGATAAGTGACATTTGTTCCCTGCTAAGAAGCCACGTCTTTCTATCTCAAGCCCAAACTCACATCTACAACCTAAACTGCAATTTGAGCGGGTTGGAAGGAGAAGAGCCTTTCAGATTTGAGCATTAAAGAGAAACAAACAAAAAAAATGGGATAAAGTTAGTGAAGTTCGTTCACTTGGCAATCCGGCGCCTCAAGGTGAGTCGTCCTACAAATCCCTCTTCCCAGTAACAGCCCCAGCGACCCCCACCCCAACCCCTAGCGGAGACGGCTCGCCTTGGGGGTTCTGTAGCACTCCGAGAGCTACTCTCCCCTGACTTCAGCTGCAACCGGCTTCCAGCAGATCACAGCCTCCTAAAACAAACCCTGGCAGCAGCGGCAGCAGCTCCAGCACAGCTGCGCTCCATGGCGCAAAAGTTTCCTCCACACTTTTCAACGTGCAGGAAATCTCGCCGGCACTGGGGCAGGACTCCGGAGAGAGGGAAAGGCCGAGCCGAACTGGCAGCAGCAACGCCCCGCCAGCTGAATGGATGTGCGCGCGTCCGGCCGTGGGAAGTGTGGCTGACGAAAGCCACCGATGCCTCATCTCCGTTCCCACACCAGACCCTCGCCCTGCAACCTGCCCAGGCGGGACGGCCCGCCGGTCGATGGAAGGCCAACGCTGCTAAGAAAGCTGCCAAGCCGCGTTGCCTATCCCGTAGGGGCGCGGGAACTTCCAAGGAGAAACCCCCAACAGCCACCACTTCCTCCAGTTCAAACTGAGGGGACCAGCCGCCCCAACGTGGGGGGAAGCTGCCCCAGAGCCCTCCCGAATGTGTCTGCGCGCAGGGCTCTAGTCGGGGGCCAGCCGTGCTCTCATCCCGTGCTCCCGCCACCCTTAAGGGGTGTCTGCGCCTGGGCTGGTGGCAAGACCCCTCCGTGCTGCTAATGCTCCACAGTGGGGCTTTCACCCCCAGCTCTGGCCAAGTTTCAAAGTTAGTCTGAGGCCCCCGTCCCGCGGCAGCTGCGCACCCACTTGCCCATTCAAAGTTGGGCACCGCTGGGACAGAGCCGCCAGTTCTTACCTTAGACACTGTGAGCGGTTCGCAGTGTTCCAGACCCCCCTTAAGGGTGAAGCCCCAGGGCGCCCCCCCTTGCAGCTGCACAGGGACGTACTGGAAGGACCCAGGCCGGTTCTCCATCCTCCGCTCGACTCAGGCGCCGCGGGGCTCCTTTTCCGCGGGGGCTACGTTGCCTCCGCCCCCAGCAGCTCCGCCACCATCGCCCTCCAGCGCTACGCCACCCTGCACCGCCCTGCTCCGCCCACTCTCCCGGCTGGAGACGCTGGGGCAGTGAGCGAGCGCAAGGAGGAAATGACACGGAGCTGGAGAAAGGGGGAGAGAGGGGGAAAAAGGAGAAGGAAAAAAAAGAAAAGAAAAGAAAGAAGGAGAGGCGGAGGGATAGCGCGTAATGGACAAGAAAACGAAGCAATCGGGAGTGGCAGGCACTGGGACCTCGCCTATAGGATCGCTGGGGAGTGGGAGCAAGGCGAGGCCTCGCGTCAATTGTTACATTGTTTCATTCAAGCAGGCCCCCTTCTTTGGTCCTCCTCCTTGCTGCCGGGTTCCCCGCCCCTCCAGCCAGCCCAGGGGACGGGAGGTGAAAGTCGTTAGTGTGGACGGCCCGCGTGGCCGAGTGGGCTGAAACGCTGGTTTTCCGATTAGCGCGTTCATGTTTCTCTGACTGCCTTTTTCTTCTGAAGGTCCCAAGAACGGGGTCCTGGGAGGGTTACAAGGCTGCTAATTTGTGGACCTTGCCTAGAGGGATGGAAAGTAAAGCAAGCAGACCAGCGAACACAGTGGGCTGTGTGTGTAGGCTGCTCTGTGTGTATGCACTAGGTGTGTGGGGTCATTATGAAACATTGCCCCGGAGCATAGTTTAAATAAAGAAGCACTTTGAGGATGCCCCCTGCTCGGGCTCAACCGCACCCTGGCTCAGCGCTGGCGTCTATGGGTAGCACTGTGCTTGTGTATGTTCCAGTCATCTGAAGTTCCTGGCACGGCCTTGCACTTGCCCCTCGGAGACGACCAAGCCAGGAATCAGCAAACTGCTAGCAGACTAGCAGTATTGTTTCCACTCCTAAACAAACCTACGGGAAAGAGCATCCATTGATAAGCTGGCCAATTAACAATGTCGTGCCTTTTGGAAGAATCAGCTTTTAGACAGGGTCCAGGACATCTCTGCTCATCTGTTCTTACTTAAGGCTGTAGTTTCTGAGCTGGGCTTTTAGAACGGACCAAAAAAACACCCACAAATACCCACAGTAACGGTCTTGAAAAGTCAATCTGTTACTAAATCTTATGCTGATTTCTCAGTCTTGACCTGGGCTACCTTCCCTCTCTGAGGTGTTGTGTCTGGAGCCACATGCAGGTAGTGAGTTTTTAAAGGGACTCACACCAGCAGGGAAAGTTTTGACAACTCAGTTGTGACTCAAAAGGACCTTCCCACTCTCTCTTGCCTGCTTAGTCTCTTGCCCTCTTCCTATGCAGCTTCTTCCTCATCAGCAAGGAACACACTGTGGCACCATTCCGTCCACAGCTTTCTGCAGACAACGTGTCCACTCTCCGCTTCCATTTCCTCATCTGTCACTGCTTCTTCAACAGACTTCAGCCTGCTGTGTGCCCCAGCAGGCCACTGGGACTTCTTTCACAGGCTTCCCTCCGTCCCCAAATCCTTTCTTCTCAGCCTTCTGGACAACATTATATGATCCTGACCTGACCTTTCTTTAATAAAACTGCAGTTTGGGTGTTTATAGCCCACCTTTTTAAGGTTCTTAGAGATGATTCACATGGGAAACTTCAAACTTTTAGACTTTTAGACCTGCAAAAATCATTTTGATCATGTTTATTATTTTGCATTTCCCCTACTAGAAAGAGAAAAATTGAGAAAATGGCATCTCAATTTGTTGATTCTTAATTGTGTATCAACCTATGATATAGCATTCATCTGCCCTGTCCCACCTTGAAACTGATCATTTTTTTTTTCTCTTTTTGTGATAAGACTCATATCTCCACGATTGTCACTTGGTAGTACTCAGCATGTTTCAGTCTCACCATATTGAAATCTGTAAAGTTCAGTCCACAGGATATGTAGTCATCACTCAAGGTCTACTAGAATTATGTGTCTAGACTAGAGGAAAGAGATTTGGAAGCAGGAGACACACATGTGAACCCTGGCCTCGTCACTAACTAGATGAGTGACCTTGGGAGAATCACTGAACTGTTTTCAGTCTCATTTTCTTTATCTGTACACTTCAGCTAATAAGCCCTGACCTACCTACCTCCCAGGCCTGTTGAAGACTAAGATTAAATTCCACATATGAAAACACTTTGGTAAAAAAAAAAAAAAGTAAAAATCCTCACAACCTTATTATGAAAGCAAGCACTGAGCTAGCTTTTAACCAATCTATTTTCATTCCTAGCCGTACTCCACACTGATGTCTTGTCACACTCTTCAGTTTATACTGTTCTTCATTACAGAAGAACATAAATTACCTAGCCCCTGGTGCAAATAGCACATAAGTAGACATCTTGAACATGGGATAGCTAGATAATCTTACTTCTTTACTGATAAAAATCACTGCTAGTAGCAAGAATCTCATTCGTCCTTGGAAGTACAGTTAGTGGGAGCATGATTGTGTAGTGGAAAGTGTACAGGGTAGAACTTGAGATGCCTGGATTCTAAGCTGGTTCTGCCATTAAATTGCTGTGACATATTAAGCACATCGCTCCCCCTCTTTGTAAATTGAAGGGATTGAGCTACTTGATTTCTTATGTTCCTCTACGCTTTGTAAATTCTGTGACTACTTCCTGGAAAGTGGTTAAACATAGTATATGTGCAAAGTCTTGATGATGGAGATGAACTAGATGAAAATAAAGCAATGGAGAAGAGTCCTGGGGTATATTTCTGCGTGTGTGTGTGTGTGTGTGTGTGTGTGTGGCCAATGGACAGATAATGAATTTACTCTAAAGTATGTTAAATTGCCTGTGAGAAAAAGGTGGAGAGTCCAGTAAGCAGGTATAAATAGGAAACTGCTTGTCAAGAGAGGGGTGCTGATTGATGATACACATTTGGATTATAGTTGAAGCTATTTGGAGTGGATAATCTCACCCAGGTATATCAAAATGATTAGAAAAGGGGGATTTAGATGGAATCTTGGATTATGCTAATATTTAAAAGTCAAGAAGGGTCACAAAACATCTAAAAAGGAGCAGACAGAGGAGGTGGGCAAAAGGCCAATCAGCAGAAACAGAGAGAGAGAAATTAAAAAGTTGTTTACTTCCACCTCATTAAAAAAATCCTCACAAGAGTCTTTTCTCCATTAGAAATCTATTGATTAGTTTACCTTTTTGGAAGGAAGAAGACTGAAATAGCAGTCCTTCTCTGAACTTCTTTTGTTAAACTTCCTTAGCTGGACCTTTTGTCAACTCAAATTTGAATACAATTTTCCTCATAGCAGTGCCTCTAGCTCCTTTCTGAATTAAGGACTCTTTTGAGATTCAAATGAAACGTATGCACTCTCTCCCCTACAAAGCTACACATGATCACCCAATGTTATGTGCAGTTTGGGCTGAGGCTTATAGACTCTAGCTTCAGAATCCTTGCTCTAGTAAGAGATAAGGTTTGTTTTTTTTTTTTTCATTATTGTGGTAAAAAACACATAACATGAAATCTACTCTCAGCAAATTTTTAAGTGGACAGTACAGTATTGTTAACTATATGCACAATGTTGTACAGTGGACCTCTAGAACGTTTTTATCTTCCATGACTGAAACTTTATAACCATTGAACAGCGACACCCATTTCCACCTCTCCCCAGCCCCTGTCAACCACCTTCTACTCTCTGCTTCTATGAATTTGACTACTTTAGGTACCTCATATAAGTGAACTTATATTCACTTATATGTATTTGTCGTTTTGTGACCGGCTTATTTCACTCAGCATAAAGTTCTCAAGGTTCATTCATGTTGTAGCATATGACAGTATTTCCTTCTTTTTTAAGGCTGAATAATGTTGCATTGTATGTATATACCACATTTTCTTTATCCATTCATCCGTCAATGTGCGTTTAGGTTGATTCCCCCTCTTGGCTATTGCGAATAATGTTGCAATGAATACAGGAATGCAAATATCTCATCAAGATCCTGATTTAAATTCTTTTGGATAAATACCGGGATGTGGAATTGCTGGATCGTATGGTAGTTCTATTTTTAATTTTCTGAAGAACCTCCATACTGTTTCCATACTGGCTGCATCATTTTACATCCCCACCAACAGTGCACAAGGATTCCAATTTTTCAGCTTCCTTGCCAATACTTGTTAATATGGATTTCTGGGTTTTTTTTTATAATGGCCATCCTAATAGGTGTGATGTGATATGCATTGCATTTCCCTGATGATTAGTGATTTTGAGCATCTTTTCATATACTGGTTGACATTTACTTGTGTTCTTTGGTAGAATGTCTATTCAAATCTTTTGCCCATTTTTAATAGTTATTTGCTTTTTTTTGCCATTAAGTTGTAGTAGTTCCTTATATATTTTGTATATAAACCCCATATCAGATATACGGTTTGCAAATATCCCCCCCCCATTTCATAGGTTGCCTTATCATTTTGTTGATGGTTTGCTTTTTATTTTTGTTTTTTGTGGGTTTTTTTTGCTGTGCAGAAGTTTTAGTTTGATGTAGTCCCACTTATTTATTTTTGCTTTTCGTGTTGTATCCAAAAAATCATTACCAAGACTGATATCATGAAGCTTTTCTTCTAGGAGTTTTACCATTTCAGGTCTTATATTTAAATCTTTAATCCATTTTGAGTTAATTTTTGTGAGTGGTGTAAGATAGGGATCTAGTTTCATTCTTTTGCATGTGGATATCCAGTTTTCCCAGCATCATTTATCAAAGCGACCGTCCTTTCCCCATTGTGCATTCTTGGTGCTCTTGTCAAGTATTAGTTGACTGTATATGCATGGGTTTATTTCTGGGCTCTCTATTCTGTTCTGGTGGTCTATGTGCCTGTTTTTTACGCCAGTATACTGTTTTGATTACTATAGCTTTATAATATAATTTGAAATCAGGAAGTGTGATGCTTCCAGCTTTGTTCTTCTTTCTCAGGATTGCTTTGGCTATTTGGGGTCTTTTGTGGTTCCATACAAATTTTAGGATTGTTTTTTCTTTTTCTGTGAAAAATGCCATTTTTGAATTTTGATAGGAATTACATTGAATCTGTAGATCAGTTTGGGTAGTATGGACATAACATTTGTTCTTTTAA